CCAGACATGTATTTCAAACTTATTAGACTAGTCCCATTATTATATTACCTCATAAGACACTGACTAGTCCTGTTGTCGACACCAAATATTTGGGACTAGACTTGACTAGTCCTCAGAATATCTTAGACTAGTCCAGACATGTATCTCAAACTTATTAGACTAGTCCAGTCCCGTCATTATATTACCTCATAAGACACTGACTAGTCCTGTTGTTGACACCAAATATTTAGGACTAGACTTGACTAGTCCCTAGAATATATCAGACTAGTCCTGACATATATTTTGAAAATATTAGACTAGTCCAGTCGTGTCAGTATGTCGTTTTTTAAAATACTGACTAGTCCTGACGGCCACATTTAGTATTTTAAACTAGTCAGGACGAGTGTTATGGACGTTTTGGACTAGACATGTCGCCAGTCCTCTCGTTTTTTTGCTTGCCTGGGCAGCTTTTACATGTAAATATTGTAGCTATCTCTTTTATGAAGTTACTTATTTGTTCAAAAAAATATCATTTTTGTCTCGAGCAATTTTGACTTGAAATCGATCGTTCGTTACAGAAGGTATTTTCAAGAGAATTGAGAATGATGCTGTTTTAATATTCAACTGACTACATGTATCATTGGAAGTGGACAGTTTTTGTTCTACCCTCATTTGAACATGCTCTCAAATAAAAAGAAAGATGACATATCTGCTTAATGAAAAGTTGAAAATTCTCTTGGATTTTTCAATTGGCATACTTCTTATTGAAGTCATGTAGTTTGCATTCAGTGACTAATGTTCATTTCAGAGATAAATGGTCGTGAGTATTTTTCGAATAAATTTTGACAGGAACGAGAGAGAGACCTGTAGTTTTCAACGTTGGAAAGAGCAGATGAAAATGCATCAAACCATACACAGAAAGATTTTTCTAATGACTTTTCTGAAGGTTTTATGCAACGCTTCAAAAAAAAACAGCATATCTCTCATGATTGCGATATTAATTTATTGATTTTCAGAAGTGTGATAGAACCATGAAATGAAGAACTACAAAAACTAAGGAAAGATTCTATTTCCAACTATTATAAATAACATATTTCAGCCATTGGAATACAATTTCTCACCCAGTTTTTCAACAAAATAGTCGAAAAATGAAGGTTTTTATGGTATTTCGATAGAAAATCACTTTTTCAACGTAGGAGAAAAACGCAATTCTTTGAAAAAGTTTGACTAAAACCTTCAGGAAAGTCTTCAGAAAAATCTTCCTATGTATGACTCGAGGCATTTTTATTTGTTGTTTCCAACAGTGAAAACAGCATGTCTCTATCTCGTTCCTATCAAAATTTATTCGAAAAATACTCACGACCATTTATCTCTGAAATGGACATTAGTAGGACTTTATATGAAGATTACTATCTATTCCTACTGTATTTTTACTATGATATGCACGTGAAAAAGATAAATAGGCCTAGACAGGTAGCCACAAGCAGGCCAGGTCGAGCAAATCAGAGAATAGGCATAGACAGACTAGAAACAGTATAAAGCTGTCACAGACGGGCCAGACCTTCAAAAAGTAGGTCTGTTTGACCTCAGTTTGGCATCATACACTTTCTAGTTTGTTTTTATTTCTAGACAAAAATTTATGAATGCAAAGGTGTTTAAAAGAAAAAAGTGTTAATAAAAAAAATAAACAAATGAAATAATTTCATTCTTGAGAGTCTGATCCGACAAGAGTACGCAACTTCAAATATAAGTGATGTTGTGTGTGAAGTACAGAATGATGCCAATCGATATGAAACTGTTGTTGAGCAAGAAATCTATCAGTATCGCGTGTTGAAAGTGGAAGAGTTGGCTCGAACTCAAAATACTGAAGTAATAGTGAAACGATCACCTTGAGCTCGGTTACAGCAAATTCCATACCAGGACACATACGAGAACCTATACTAAAGGGCATGTAACAGTATTTGTTGGGTGAAACTCGTGTCAAGTCAAACTCGTCTGGTCGAGTATAATATATTGCAGACCGATGAATAGACCATGTGAAAATATTGACATCACTCTCACGTGGAATGAATAAAGTTCGTTCTGATTCAATTTGTAAAACAAGATCGCGTGTACATCGTCGAGTGACAAATGGAGCGATGGTCCAAAAGCGAAGAATTTCACGAATGAATAAATCAAATAAAGTATCTTCTTCAATTTCTGAGTTTATTTGACGAATTGACTGATCACGCAGCATTGCCTGGATGTCTTTGTGATGAGCTAAAGTAAGTAAAGTAAGAGCAAGCGCTGTTGCCGTTGTCTCCGATCCAGCGAATAATACTAGTTTTGTATTATCAAAATCAAGTGCTTGTTCTGAATTCATCCATCTACGATGAACAAGATCATCAATGAATTTGATTTCATCTTTGCCATTACTACAAGTGTTATGATCATCATTAGTTTTTTTAGTGAATTTTTCACGTGTAAGCATTAAAATAGAATGTGTCAATTGATTTCCATCTTCTTCATGTGCACATGCACCAAATGTGCCACCTAAAAGTGTCTGACCAACGATATCAAGTGTGAGACGAGTACATGCATCGGTTATATCGATAACAGAGTTGTTCAATGTTAGCATTGATTTCCATCGATTAATCAAATATTGAGCACATTCTTTCATAATAGGAACATATATATTGGAAATCTGTTTTGGAGACAAACGTTGTACAAGTGCATGTCGTGAATCAGGTCGTCGTTGAGAATTATTAAGCATTGATGCAGAAAGAGGTGATTCATCATCAACAGGTGCTTTGATAAAGTGAGATGTTGACCGACGAACGAGTATTTCGTGAGCTATATGAACATCAACAACAATTAATTTATTTGGAAACATCCATGCCCAACCTCTTCGACGTGTTAACCAAGATAATGTTTCGAGTTCAGACCAACGAGCAACATATAATAATAGATAATACAAGACTAAGTTTATGCATTTTTCGAACAAGATCGATAATGTCATACTTTGAGACAAACTTTGTCGATGAAAAAAGAGATAATATGAAATAATCAAATGGTGTTTCGAAAATAAGAATCAACTGCAAACAATAATAAAAGAAATGAAAAAAAAATGGAGAAGAGAAAAGGTAAAGAAAGGAAATAAGAGAAAAATAAAGAAGTCAATGACAACTAAAATGACCACTGGAAGTTTAAAACACCTGTTACTTTTATGTTTTCAACAAAAACAGAAAACATCATCTGTGACATGTATGACGCCAAATATTATTTCAATGACTAATGCCAATATGTGTGTCTCTTTTTTTTTATTTCTTTAGTATACGATCATTTATGAAACTTATGATGCTAAATATTATTCTACCGGCTAATGTTAACACAGTTGCCTGGTTCCTTTCATTTTCCAATATAGCTAAGGTCTATGTAAGAAGTATATGATGACAAATATTATTTCAATGACTAATGTCAATACAGTTATCTTTTTTCTTTATTTCTTCAGCATCCAATCATCTATGAAATATATGACGATAAATATTATTTCAATGACTAATTTCAATATAAGTGTTTCTCTTTTTCATTTCTTTAGTGTACGATCATTTATGAAATATATGACACTAAATATTATTCTACTGACTAATGTTAGCATACCTATCTGTTTCCTTCCGTTTTCTAACATACGGTCATTTAGAAAATAAATGATGTTAGATAATATGTTGGCAATCGACGCTTTCAAAACAAATGTATAAAAGCATGAAAGATAGACATTCAGACTCACTAAAAAATAAAGAATGTTGATTGATACATATCAGTTGGAGCTTTATACTTCGACTGAACAAGTAGTGCTCGCTTTGTTCAACGAACAAGTCACTATCAATTCACGCTATGAAAAAAAAGATACAAACAAGATACTATCCAGAAAATATCAATTTTCAGTAAATCATTTTCATCTGGAACAAATACATCTCATTCGGCTCGCTCATGAATTTAATACGACACCAACTGCAATTTCACTAGCTATCTTTGGACTACTTATTCACCGATATCAGCCTGGATCCAAATCTATCGATATTGTCGTTGGAAAACATCAATTGACTATCCCAATCCGAGATTGCAAATTGAGCACGATTATCGAATCCATTCGTTTAGATAATGATGATAACATAACCAATAGTATGTCTTTAACATCGAGCATTTTTCAATCATCTACTGTTATCGGACGACAACTTATTTTGTTCATAGGTAAAAGTCCTAGTGTTGCAGCCAAGGCTATACTTGACTGCCAACTCGTCTATTTCAATGATTATTTCGATGAGAAGTTTATAGACGGCATATGCGAGGCATTTCAATGTCTTCTCAAACATCTGGGTAACTTGAGTATGACATTCGATTTATCGTACAGTGAACTTGTTAGTGTGCCACTTGTGCAGTCTAGTATAGCTATTGATGGTCCTTCCAATCTATATTTAAAAACCGCAAGCAGCAACAATACCATCTATGCCCATTTTCAAATTATTGCCAATCGTTATCCAGATCGAATATGTTTGCAACTAAGTGGGATCAATTCACTTAGCTACAGCAAATGTCTCAAACTCGTCGATCACTTCTCATCTATCCTTCAGCATGAATTGAGGGTGACAAAGTCAAGTGTAATAGGCTTATGGATGAATAATTCTTTTGAATATGTCATTGCTTTGTTAGCTATATTGAAACTTGGTGCCGTCTTCGTTCCACTTGATATTAAACATCCCTGTAAGCGGGTCGAGTTCATTGAAAAGCAGTCACGTATCAATATTATTCTGACAAATAACAATAACATATCAATAACAAAAAGTGAGCCTGTTTTTTTGGCACCCAAAATACAACTCAATATAACAGACGGTGGAGAGCTAGACATTAGCAACTTAGTAAGTTAAAGAAATTAAAATTGTTTTAATAATAAGCCTTTTTTTGTATTATAGTATGTTAAATCACATTCTTTTGAATCTCAGAATGAATCCAACAATGAAAGTGGCTATATCATTTTTACTTCAGGCTCAAGTGGCGAGCCAAAGGGTGTATTAATCGAAGAATCGGGTCTCTTGAATATGGCTCTCTCACAAATTCGTATATTTGACATAAAACCTTCAGATATTGTTGCTCAATTTGCTTCGATTTGTTTTGATGCATCATTATCAGAAATTATGATGGCATTATTGGCTGGAGCGAGTCTTATGATCTTTCATTCGCCTGAAGAGCGAACAGGCTCAAAATTAATTGACACTCTGAATTTGTTTTCCATCACTGTAATAACGCTTCCTCCTAGTCTTCTTTCAGCACTTGATCCTCAAAAATTACTTTGCATTCGTACTATCATCTCGGCAGGTGAGCCATGTCCAACGGTACTTGCATACAAATGGACTAATAGTTCTCGTCACTTTTTCAATGCTTATGGTCCAAGTGAAGCAGCTGTCTGTCGAGAACTTTCAAAAACCATGTATCAATATCATTTTTATATAGTATGAAAAATCTGAATTGAACGCAAAATATTTGAATAATATGAGCAACAATATATGAGTATGATTTAACAACAGCAGCACAATTAGCCAAATATAAGACACTACCCATCGGTACACCCATTCACAATATACGTACTCGAGTGGTCGACTCTCAACTGAATGATGTACCAGTAGGTATGCCCGGCGAACTTTTATTAAGTGGCATGGGTGTCTCACGAAAGGGCTACATAGGTACTATCAATGAGAAGAATAATAAGGCTTTTGTGACATTAAATCAAGAACGGTGGTATCGCACCGGTGATTTAGTCACAACTATAGGTCCCGATCATCAAATGTTCATTTATTTTGGACGAATGGATAATCAAGTGAAGTTAAGTGGATGTCGAATCGAATTGAACGAAATTGAAGCAGCAGTGCTCACTTGTCCTGGTGTTACGCATTGTATTGTTGTTTTGCATCAATGTGAAAAATGTGATGATGATCATGGTGCTTTGGCAGCATATGTTGATGGTACAGCAACGACAGATTTTATTCAAGAACACATTATCCAAAAACTTCCGACATATATGTTGCCAACATACATGATCATACATTCTTCTTTTTTTCTTCCTACAACTCTTTCGGGCAAGGTTAATCGACAGTTGCTTGCCACTGATCAGAATGTTCATTGTCGACATACAAATAAGACACCTCTAACAAGTACAGAACAACATATGTATATGCTCTGGTGTCAAATACTCAACAAAGAATATGATATAAACATGGTCGTAGATCCAAATGATTTAACATTTGCACAATGTGGTGGCAACTCACTTACAATTGCTCTTCTGCATGCCTTACTGGTAACACAGTTTTCTATCAATGCACGCGTTTATGCTCATATGTCATTGAAACAAATGGCCAATTTATTAGTACAACAAAACGACAAGGTTGATGACATTTTCTATGAAGCCATCATGCACGATCTAAATAATGATACCATTGATTTGAACGACGTAGTTCACAGTTCTCATTCTCGCGTGTTGGATCAAACATCATCAATATTACTTACAGGTGCTACAGGTTTTCTAGGGTGTTTTCTACTTAATGAACTATTGACAACGACATCGATGACTATCATAGTGCTTATACGGGCTCTCTCCTTGGATGCGGCAAAGAGGCGACTCTGCTTAACTCTACTCAAATACGACCTACTCAGTGAAATCGTACAACAAGCATTCGATAATAACGGACAAAAACGGATTGAGATCTGCTTATGTGAAAATTTGGCTGATTATGATGAGTCTTTTTCTCATCTTGACTTAAACAATCGATGGAATCACATTGATGCTGTTCTTCACTGTGCAGCTGATACTAACTTCAATCTGACATATGAACATCTACGACAAGTTAATGTACAACTGACTAAATACTTACTTGGACAGTGTGTTCGTCATAACATACCTATCTATCATGTCTCTTCACTAAGCATATTCTTGTTCACTCAACATGACATGACGTTACCACCATCTTACATAAATGAAACTGATGAGCCTCAGCTGAGATCCATCATTGGTGGCTATAGTCAATCCAAGTATGTTGCTGATATGCTAGTTTTAAGAGCACTACGTCGAGGTCTGCCAGGTGCAATTTTTCGACCTGGTCGAGTTACAGGCTCCTCTATTTCGGGTATTGGTTCAACAGAGGATCTTTTCATATTAATGTTACGTGGCTGTCATGAATTAGGTGCCTATCCTAAATTGAAGTTTCCATATGACGTGACTCCAGTCGACATGGTGAGCAAAGCAATCGTACGTATTATCACTCGACCACAATCATTCGCAAACTCGATACCTTTGATTGTTCATTTGATCAATACGAAAACAATTCCATTCGATGAGCAGTTCAAACTGTTAAATCAGTTCAGTTGTCGCACAAATCATTTGGAAGAATTACCGTACAATGAATGGTGTAAACGACTCATCGATCGAGTGTCAGTTGAGCAGCGGCAATCTAATACTTTCAATCCACTTTTGCCTTTAATTCCTTTTCTACAGTCTTCCTTTTGGCAACATATCGAGCAGTGGCCAGTATTTACAAGAACAAATGACGCAGATGCTGTGATGGATATGTGTCCCGAAAAACTATTTAAACTTTATTGCCGTGTGTGGAAACGAGCTGGTTGGTTTACTTGATTGACTCTGTATATAGTAATACTTGTGTCTTGTCATGTGATTATGGATATCTCTATTACTTTATATTTATTGCTCCTTTAAATCGAGACTTAATATAAATAAAATCTATATATTTATAAAATAAACACGAAAGCTTTATTTTCATAAAATGAACAAATAATAAAAAAAGAGTTTTTCCATGAAAACCTATATAATGATTTATTTTCTTCAGGTAGTTTACAAAAATTTGTAGTATCATAGATGTAAGAAAAGTATACAGACAATATTTTTTGCATAAATATTTGCATATATCATCCTCATTTTTAATGATATCTCGTATTGAAATGTTGTTAATAGTTACAAAGAATTTTGATCAGTATATCCTGACGTTATATTAGGTATTTATCTCAGCTTTCTCGAGCGTAACGCGATGACGCTTTGGCCACAGTACTTTTAACTTTTATCACTAATAAGATTAGCTAGAACGTTTACTGTTGTATCGAAAGATAAGTCTCTGCCTTCCCCATAACCTGTGAAAATTGGAGCTTATTTGAATGGGCCGTCAAAAATTTATAGCAAAAATAAATGGCGTAACGCGATGACGCGCACGGAACAAAAAGTTGAGGGTAGTGCGTTCGCTCTTTATTTTTCTGCGAATGTGAACTCTTTAGAACACAACACTCTAAAGACTTTTTGTAGTAAACAGTGTGAGGTATTCAGCGATGAAAAATATTTTTCAAATTGACTTCTTATTTTGAAAATAGAATGTTTCTATCAATGTAACGCGATGATGCACTTGTAACGCGATGACGCTTACTTTTACTAACAAGTTTTCTTTATGGCATTTTTCGGTACAAGTACAACTGTAAAGACAACATACTACTTTTTTTTCAATCTATATCATAAAGAGGCGTCAAATATCACATTTATTAATAATTTTCATATACAAATGATGAAAATAAATTAATCAACGATATCAATATAATAAGTAGTCAATCGATATGATAAAAATAAAAAATCTTTTCGTCATCAAAATAAAATACTATGTTAATATAAAATAGTACAAGATTGGAGTATGAAACACAAAATAACTACTGTACACGTACAACAATCTTGTTCCTAATGCTAATCTTGATAAAATATAGTCTCACTATGTTCATATAAAATAATACTTAATTAAATGAAAGAGGAATATTTTACATGGTACAATTTTTTAACTTGGAAATCGATATGTCTTTTTAGTTGTACTATTCGAATAATATTTATACTCAATTGTATTATTTTCAAGTACATTGATTGAATGGATCTTTTTTGTTTCTGGTACTGTTTGTATTAATTGAAAAATTGGTTCCATTTTTGCTTTTGATTGCTCAATTTGACTTTCTTCTAACTCATTAACATTAATAGTACTTGTTTTAGATCGAGCAATTTCCACAAATTCAGCAGCTGAACTACATTGTTGGCCACTCATAATTGCATTGTAGACCAGACGTTTTGTTGTTCCGCCGACTGCATCTACCACGCCCTTCCCATGGGAGGTGGCAAAAAAATTCCAAGATAATTTGATCTAAATAATTTTAAATTACATTATAATTAAAACTTTGTAAAAGTATAATTTAAATAATTACTTGAAAATCTGCAGCTAAACGACATAGATTCCTAAACAAAAATTTTTGTTTGAACTGTTGGCTTGCACCATCAGAAAATATATGAATTTGTTTTAACTGTTGATATTGTTGTTTCAATTTCAAAAATAAATCTTCTAATACAGCACTTACACAATACTTATCATGTGTAAGATTATCTGTTACATAAACAAATGAATAACCAACATTTAAACACCAAGCATAGCAAGTAATTAATGAAACTGATTTTTTTGAAAAATATGAGCTTTGTATAGAATCTTGAACATCGATTCGAAAATTTTCACTAAAATCAATTTGTAAACAAATAATTTCATTAGTTGAATTTGTTTTTATTTTTTCAAAATAAGCTGCTTGCTGACGTTTAATAAATACATGTGATAAAAATTCATTAACTTTTGATTTCAAAATTGCTAAACAATCTTGAATTGTACCATTAAATTCAACTTTTCTTGAAAAACCATTTTTTAATACCCATTGATACCAATTAATTGTTTGTGTAAAATCAATAACATGTTTTGTTATATTATTATCAAAATTATTTGCACACAAGGAACATCGACTAAACATACAATTTTCATCTGTTTCACAACAGACAAGTGTTGCTGAAAATGCTTGAAGAGAATTTAGACCAGAACATGAAATATATCTTGATAAAGGTTTTATTAACAAATTAATATTTTCGTGATAAGCACATAAACAACTACGATGTGACATGTGAGACTGTAATAAAATATTTAATGGTCGTAAATCATTGAATGATGTTAATGATAAATGAACATTTGTATTGTCATATTCAGTTAAAAATAATGAATGTGCTTCACGTGAGCTAAATAACAGAATTCTTTTTTGTACTGTTGTTGATTGACCATTATCATCTTTAATTGTGATAAAGTCTCGTTTGCCTGGTAACTGATAGCTTATATCATCTCGATTATAAAAATTTATGACCAATTGTTTTAATTCAATTGGTAATGAACGTTGTACACGTTTGTGATGTGATATTGTTTTAGGAATGATGTCAAGTTCTTGTGCAATATGACGTATTACAGTAACACGTTTATTTGTATCTTTTGGTAAAGATTCAACAACACGTTTAACTGCTTTGCCAAGTGTTTGAGGACATTTATATGATGATTGTTTATTATTTGTACCTTCAAGGTCTTTTTTAGCACGATATTTTTTCGATGCTTGTTTTTGCCTATTACGTAATTGTTGTAATGAATAATCATTTAAATTTTTACGTCTATTATTATCACGAATGCGTGATTTTTCTTTCATTTGATCAAATTTTTGTTTATTTTTCAATAAATTTATTCGATACAATTTTTGTCGTTCAGCATTTGATTTTGCCATTAATTTAGTTATTACCGTAATAATGATATATATTAATATTCAACGAATGTAAAGAATATTAGAATATTTTCAATTAATAAGAGGTTGATATAGTTTTGAAAGGTATAAAGTTGACATTATTTTTAGAATTATAGATGATTGACTCGATTAAAACAATACGTTAATTTGAATTGGTACTTTTATTTTTTATTGGCTATTGTTTATGTGAACCAATCGAATATATTCTTATCACAATTTACCAATAATCAATGATACAATTCATTATCTACTCTGAATAGTGAATTTTGAATACTGATTCCATGTCCAAAAACCTCTGTTCTTAAATATCCAAAAATCACGAAAAGTGTAAAAAGCGTCATCGCGTTACGTATGGCTACTATACAATGAATTCTTTTTCTATAAGAATACATGCATCAGATAGCCCATATTAAATTAGCTTTAGACACCGAATGTTCCATAGAAAAAGTTGACGCAAACGAAGGAAAAAAACAAAAATACTTATTTTTCGTTACGCGATGACGCTATAAATTTGATAGTTTTACTGAATGTGGCTATGACAAACTGTAAAAAATAGGAAATCGATTGTTGTGCCAAATTATACCTTTATTAGCATAGAGTCAAATGCTCTTGATTACCTTTGTGTATATCAAAGTGTATCGATAGAAGTATTAGATTAATTACGAGAATGATATGATTATTCTTCTTTGCATATTAGAGCCATCTTTATTATTAAACACTGACTATGATTCTCAACACTAATTAAAAGAACAAAATATGTTTCTGTACCCTACGAACTATGCTCTACAAGATAGTAATAATGAATTACTGAAATGATGATTTTGAATTTATAGTGACTGAGGTTACGCGTTACGCGTTTTTGCTGATATATGAAATTTGATTTTTGCAGTTTGTCTCGCCTTTGTTATTCTAACATCTGCATGATATTTTCATACGATCTTGTCTCAATTACCCAAACCAAATCATCCGTATTGCTACACTGTCAAATGACGACCAAACGATGGTCGGTGATTCTTCGTTGAATACTTCGTAGATTTAAATAGAAATAGCGTATGTTTGTTATATCTATACTGATTAGTTCAAAGAGCAGTAAGGCACTCTCGCCGTGAACTTCTTATCACCATAAGATGCACCTCTGACTTTATGGAATAACATAGACATTCTTGATTCAGCATTCACAAAAATTCTATCATTTCATGATGTCAAATTATGTCCAAGAATAGATAAGAGACTCTATAACTGTGAGGAGCAACAGCTTTGAACTAGTGATTTATCTGATTATCAATTAACCTAACTCAATACGTAGTTGTGCATCAAGATGAGCAAAACAGTACGAAAGATGTATGTAAGATAATTCGTTCCCGACAATTATAGCTATTATTACCTAGGATTATAGTAGTGACTAGAAAAAATCCAATTACTGTAACATATAGTGGGTATTTTAAAAAGAAGTCTTTTAGTTATCAGTTAAACAAGTCCTTATTCTTATTCAATGCTGCAAAAATGAATTGAATATCTTATGCAAGTATTGGAAGTATGAGAAAAATTTGGACTGTTCATGTCGCGTCAAGGCACCTAAGTTTTTAACCCAGGATGTGTTCATTTTATGATTATCTCAAACGGTTCTCTTGTGATAGAAAAAACTGAGACTTTCACATAACATTACAAGAAAAAGAAGACAAATAGAGCTTATTTTTTCTTAGAAAAACACTTTTGCCTTTGATACAATATTCAGTAACCTAAACCTGCTGGTACAGGGTTTATAGCCTTTACTCTAAATGCTTATGTCTTGAAAGTCGACGAAAAAGTGCCACATCAATCATTCAATCAAAACAGGAAATAATCTCGTTAAGAATCGTGAACATATGAATGTCTGTTCATCAATGTTATACTATGAAATAGTGAGAAAATCATATTAAAATGTATGACGAGCAAATCATATCGTGTGCAAGACGGTACAGTTTACTGAAGCAACAAACATCTAACTGAGGGTAGCTTTAAAAA